TGTGATTTCTGATAGAACAGCAATACAGTCAATTCCCTGTGCTATAATGGTAACTGCTTAATTCAGTGCGATTGCTTAATTCTAAACTAGAAACAGCAAAAGCTGATTGTTACCTTTAACTTCATAATAATTAATTGAGGGACAGCAAATCGTTACTAAGCTCAACTTGGATTTCAGTTTCTCTCAACTCTGTGTCCTTGCTTTGTCCTTCTCAGTCAATCCCCTTATTTCATAAAAAGCCCAACTGCATCCTAAATCCATTTTAAACTCTTGCCTTTTATTGCCTTGTCAGTGTACAATATAGCTCTTTGGTTCGCTTCATCCCCCAAATTAAATTTCCTATGGACCAGATCCTCAGCCAGCCTAAGCTGGTGTAGCGCTACCAAACAACCACCCCTCTGCTGATCCAGATGATCGAGCCCCCTCCTGTTAATCATTGATTCTTTCCCCCATCCCCCAGGCAGATTGCTTGCACAGTGTTGGCAGGGTTCCTGTATCATCTGTTCATTCACTAATAACACTATTCAGCATTTATTGGGGCAGTCTGGCTCTCTGCAAATTCAGCAGTGAAGCTGCTATTGATTGTGTGATGGGGAAGCAGAATCAAGCCATATAAAGTCACATTACTTTGTATTCTGAGAGCTCTGTGAAAACGACACGGCAGTTAATTCACTAATAGTTTATATTCATCTTGCTTGTGTCATAGTGGAGAGAAAATGTTTCAGCACTGCCAGGGTGGGTGGTTCACAGAATCATTTCTTGGAGGATTTGAGAGTCATGCCGTAAAAGGCAAGCTGTGGGCTTTGCTCCAGCAAGGACACACCTTAGTAACTGTAAAGCACATTGCCAAAGATCTCCCTGTTAAAGGAGGTAAGATTTTGCAGTCTGTGTTTCCTGATTACATATATCAAATAAAAGTGCCAGATAAAAGCAGTAGGAAGGACAGAATATTTTCAGCAGAAACAGTGAATATGATCTCACTTACACCAGGTTATACCACCTGCACTCTGTCTTTCCATCAAGAAGGTCACACCAGGTCCATTACATTTTAATGAAATGCTGCTCTAAAAGGGTAACCAAATTATTAAGAAAAAGCATAGATGCTTTAAAGAACGGAATTGAATGATAGAGCAACCTGGTCTAGTGGAAGGTGTCCCTGCTCATGGCAGAGGGGCTGGAACTGCATGACCTTTAAGGTCCCTTCCAACCCAAACCCTTCTATGATTCCATGATTCTATATTTGGCTCTAAATCAACTTGAAATTTTGAAGTGCATTACTGGGGACTATAATGCTTTCTACAGTCTCTCCTATTTTGTCAATGGGAGCAGACATTAAAATAACATAGAGTAGCTTTAAAAAATGAAAGGGGGCTTGGCATTTTGCAGCCTATGTTTTGTTTTGGTTTTCAAATGGTGGTGCTTTTGCCTAGAAAAAAAAATATATTCTTCATAGAATTTAAAATATACTGAACATTAAGAAATCTTAATTCAGATATTTTCATGTCACTTTTTGCAAATTCCAAAAGGTTCTGAAAAATTTGCAAAGCTCATCCATGCAATTTTTTGGAAGGATATTACTTTAAATTATTTATTTATGTGTAGTTATTTTAAGGAGATAATTTTTAAAGTTTTAAAGAATTTAATCTTACAGCATTGCAGTATAAAATGCGGTATATAACACTACAGGGTAACAAAATGCATAATTACAGATGTAACTGACAGCAAAAGAATGGCATACGTAAATACAGATAGAAGCAAATAGGCCAATGTCATTATCACTGATATGGAAATACCCACTATAGAGACACAGCCTGAGCTTAATTTGTTAAAACTGTCTAAAAAGAGAATAGCATTAAAAAGTCAATAAAGTGATGTGTGGTGCATTATTTCTTCCCCAGCCAAATTAGTTCTCCCTGAAATAAGCATAATAAAAATGTTATTTTTCCTTGATGACTCATATTTTGGAGGGTGGCTTTGTTTTTTTCCACTGTAAGAACAGTTTTACAGATTTAACATCCATACTTACAGGACACTTACAAACATACAGGCTCTTAAACCTGTACAGATTCAAGTGCAGGGCTATCTTAATGCACAGAGTAGCCCTACTTACTTTAAGTATGTGTTTTCTGTACATGGAACACAATGAAACAAAGCCCCAGTTGTCACAGTCATTATTTTTGAGTAACCATTCCTTTCTGTTTTGACAGAATTACTTTTTACTATAGCTGCAGTTCCCTGAATACCAATACTTTTATCCAAATATATTTGTAGCCTTGATGTGGCCTCCTAATGCAAGTAAATCAAATTTGAATGCAATACCATTCCAGCTAAGAATCCTTGGGGAATTTCTGGCATGGGGGCCAGGAGACCTAGAACCTCTGCATTGGCCAGTGACTTTCTTCCAGGCAGCCCATGGCTCCACCAAGCTTCTCCTCAAAAGCCCACTGTCATCCTCTTCTCCCCTGTGATAATCCTGCCCTCTTTAAACATCTCATCCCACCCTTTGGTGCTCCACACCCTGCCGTCCCAGCTTCTGCCCTAGTCTCATTTCATTCTGTGCTGTTCCCCCTTTGCCCTCTATTGCTCGCCTTCCTCTCCTCTTGCCTGACTGAAACAGAAGAGGAGCTTGGTGTGGAGTAGCAGCACTGGGCAAGTTGATGGCTTTGCACAGGGATGACATGATGCTGAAGGAATTGCACGTGCAGAGCACTGCTGGGAGGAAAGCTGAGGATGAATAAGGGGAAAGTACTGCACGACAGAGGTAGTTAATGAACAGCTTAGAAAAAGTATTTAGAAGTCTTATTAGGCCCTCAGTAAAGAAAACAAATGTTCAGACTCCTCCGTGAGTCAATTTCAGCCCTAGACATGTCCAATCGTATGGGTGTTTCTTACAGGTATTCCACAAAAAGGATTCGTCAGCCCCTGTGGCAGCTTCAAACAGCTGCATGCTACAGAGCCCAGAAGCATCGAATTCCTGTATTTCACTCTGATCCCCAGCATTTCTCAATTGAAAAGCTTTTAGCTTAGTTTATTTCAGAGCAAACATTTCCCTTTGTCCTCCCAGACACATGGTACTTCTCGGATCTGAAGGGCCAGAAACACTGCAGAGCAGAAGCTGTAATCACAGCACAAGGAGAAGGGGAACCAGCCTCTGAACCCTGTGTCAGTGCGATATATTCTCCCCCTGCCAAGTGAAGCACTTGATTCCTCCCCTTACAGAATCAAGATTTAAACTTTGAAGGTTGCAGATTTGATGCCCAGCTATGACAAAGGACAGTTTTTTCTACAGCATGTGGTGCCCAAGCTTCCTGAAACTGGTGAAGGAGCATCTCTGGTACTAGCAAACAGAACTGCTGAGGAGCCTCTGGTTTGCTATGTTTTTCTAAGATACAGAATGGAAAAGAAAACACTTTCCCTACATAGACTTCCTCTACTAATCTCTATACTTGAGATTCTCCAAAAGTAGAGGGTATTCTAAACTATAAAGGAATAAGCTGCCTGTATTGATGATTATGCATACAGTAAATTACTTTGAATACAACCAAAGCTTATGTGATGTGAGCCTTAAACACTTTAAGACTTGGTCTGATCTCACCAAATCACCACCTGGCGGAAACAACAGCACTCCATTGTCTTACAGGAGGAGCTAACCTCATTTCCTCAACTAAAAATCTGTCCTTTGACTTTCAGCTCCTATGTCAAGAAACACTTGTATGTATTGCTTCTCTGTAAGGTGACTTGTATTTTCTTGGCTATTGAAAGAAACAGAGAAGCAGAGAGAATAGGGTCTTTCGAACACCTTTTTCACATGTTCACATTCTGCCTTTAATCACATTTACAGGAAGGTATCAGCCTTTAAGTACAGCTCTAAGGGCGTCAGTGATGCCATACAAAGTAAAGGTCTCTGTACTGCCAAAGGCCACATGACTGTCTTAGCCTGTCACAACATTTAATCAGGAAATTATTTTTATTATAGAAACTACTTTCTTTGGCTTTTCTGCTTTAGGCTCTTCAGACATACCAGACTGATCCTGCCATGAGAAAGATGCTAACTCAGCTGTATTTCTACATCATGCCTGTATTTAATGTGGATGGATATCATTTTAGCTGGACAAATGTGAGTACGATCAGTAGTATTACCAAAAAAGTTGTTCTGGAAAGATGGAATGGTTGGTGCATCATTCAAAGGGGACTTTCTGTATAGTCTGGTCTTGTGGCAAGGAAAATGGAAGTAAATTACCCCAGTTAAAATACAGTACTGAATATGTTTAGGGCGGCTGGTTTGTTATGTATACAAATAGACTTTTGCCAAAAGATAGTAATATTGCTATTTAACTATTTTATACCCTCTGCTAGGATCGATTTTGGAGAAAAACAAGATCAAAGAACACAAGGTTTCGGTGTCATGGTGTTGATGCTAATCGCAACTGGAAAGTGAAATGGTGTGGTAAGTCTGGAGACACTTTGGTCCACCAGTTCAGATTACCCTGTATTTAATTATCCAACAGAGTAAGTAGGTTAGGTCACATCCATTGTGAAGTGTTCTGTTTTCCGTAGTTAAATTTGGAGGTAGTTTCCCATACAACCACAAGACAGGAATCAAATCTTCCTCCCAGCTTCTAAAAATAATGTCCTGAGCTTTGGAAAAACACCTCTCATCACAAATAAAACGTTTTCATGGTGAGAATGGCAGATGTATAAAACCACACATATAGGTATTCAGTATTCCTGCAATAAGTTAATAACTTGAAGCACAGTATTGAGCCTGGCACATCACATCCCAGGATTTACCTGACTTACAGTTTTAGGAAACATTTCAAAGTTCATTTTATTTTACTTAGTAATGTCTCTGAAATGGGTTTAGCTTTGGAAATGTCAGACTTGCTTTGTTGGCCTCACAGAGAAATGTCTGAGAATATTTTAAGGCCATTATTATTAGTGATTTCATAAAGAAAAAAGGTGCTTCTAAACGCATAAAGCTCCAATTTAAAACTCCCAGCACTTCTGTAAATGACTTCATAAAAATTGACTTCAGTTGTGCATAGAGAATTCAGCAGTAATGTGATACCAGCAGAAGATTTAGAATGGGTCCACTGAAGAGGAAAGGGGTTTTTATTAAATCTTACAGCGAGACAGTACGACTTACACAGGAGTAAGCAGACATACGAGTTCTGGTGCAGCAGAGAGTCACAGCACTTTCTTGTGAACTATGGTGATATACATACCTGGTTCTTCTGCTGACCTGCTCTCCCATCTTGAGCACCTTCCTTCAACTCCCTGTGCAGCTGTTTCCTCCTCCAGCATTCATCCACCTTCCTTATTTATATTACAAACTTGTAAAGGCAGAAATAATGTTTGCACAGAGCTAGCACTCCCTTCAGCCCATCCCTCTTTCACTGAAAGTCTCTAGATGTTTCTGCAATACTCTGATTACTTGCAGTAGGAGTAAGCACTGTACAGTCTGGCTTGCATCGACTCAATTCTTTAAGCAGGACTGTAAGGATAAAAGTGAGTGTGAATTGTCTGCCAGGGGAGATTACAAATGAGGTGAGAGTGAACAAAAGCATACATTCAACATAGTATAGACCTGTGAAATACGCTTCCGGGTTTTTTTCAGCTCTGCTTGCAGTTAGGAGAGGACTGACACAGAAGCAATTACAGAAAGCCTATGTTAGCTGAGAACCCCTCCACTATGCAAGACAGTCCCAGGGATGCTAACATGATCTTCAACGCAACTTTATGCTGCAAAAATAATGTAAAAATGAACCAAAGTCTGCATTGCCGTTACCATCTTTTACTTACATGTGTAAAGTCACTGCTGCACGTATTTGGGGGACACGCATTTACTGTTCAGGAGACAGTCACCAGCATAGCTGGAATGAACAGTTCTCTTACAAAGTCTTCAGAGCCATTTTGCAAGTACCTTATCAGTGCAACAATAATACTGTCACAGTGCACTTTCTAGTCCTAATTAATCTTTCTTGGGTTCAAATGACTCTGCTCCCTGCTCTTTCTGCTCACTAGACACTGTACTAAAGCACACTTTTTACTCAGTCCTGAAAATGTTTGTCTTGTTTTCAGTAATGCAAAAAACCATTTTTTCTAGGCTGAGTGAAAGTGTAACCATACACACACATGTTGTGTGTCACAATCCACCACTTGCTGCATTTCTCCCCTGCATGGAACATGAAAGACAAGTCCTCACCCCAGGTTTAAAAAATTCCTCCAAGGTTGCTCATCATCCCACCAAGCACATGCTCTGCTTCCATCACGAGACTCCAAACTCTGTCTGATTCTCTAGTCTGCCAGAGAATAAAGAGCTCTTTCATTAAGTGGGGTGACTGGTGCTTAGAAGATCCTCACCCAGCACCCCATGTTCTCATTAGTCTGACACTAAATGAGGGAGAGAAGAATCTGGATCATATCACACTTTGAGGCTTGTATAATCATGGTGTGTTTAACATTTAATACTGCACACACTTGTAAAAACCTTTTAATTCAGTTCAGTCACACTTGCAGTTTGCAGACAGGCTTGAACTTCACTGTGGGGCTTCCAAACTGGTGTGTTTTGGCAGAATCCAGCCCCAGCAAAGCCGCTGAATGCTAGCAGCAGTGCAGCAGTTGGTAAAGACAAGGCATCCTTTCTGCTTTCCTCTTCCTTTCTAGTGTAGGACTTTCATGAAAGCTTTATGATGTTGCTTCTGTATTTTCTAGGGACTAAGAAAAGACCATATCACTGATTGTGGTAGATTTCACCTTCCAGTGCCTTGCACTCAAAATAGCGCACAGAAATTGTACACAGACCCAGGTGAATACTGACAGCAAGATTTCTATGTAGAAATGCTCTTTGCAATATATATATGCATAAATATGTGAAATAACTAGCACAATGGTTTAGTGTTCATGAAATAAATAGCAACCTTACAGGCAATAATGAGGTACTTAGAACTAAATCATGTCACGAGGCAAATCAAGTTAAAGGGGTTGCATCCAAAGCCCCCAAGAAAGCAGCAGTGGGAGTTAAAATTTCCAGTTCATCCCAGTTTCCAGTGTACCCCATTGCTCACAGAGGACAGTTCCCCCTATCGGCACAAGAAGGGGCTGCAAGGAAGTTTGAGAATCATGCTCCCACTCATCTACCCTCCCTGTCTTCCTTCTGAACCAAAGCATTGGTTTTATCAGTCTCTGCACACACTTCCTTTGTACATTTGCTCTCATGATGGATGTTGGAGGATACTTGTCCTCCTGATATGCTGTCAGGTACAAAAATAAAGCAGCACGGTAGCATTTTATGCCATTCTATTTTCTTCTCATGACTGTAACTCAAAAATTTCACTCAATTTGGTATTATTGTATTGTTTTGTTTCCTTCTTGTGTTACTTTAGAAGAGCTTGAGTATGCAAATTGTTGATACCCTTACATTATCCAAGGCTACCATGGAAGACCTCTCTTTTTACTACCAGCCATTTTCACTTAAGGAAATGCATCAACTGCAGGTAGGATTGCAAATGGCTCACAGTAGTAGGCTGGAGAGTTCAGAGAGCTTTTGTCTTCCCTGAAAGTCACTAAACTGAGTCATATTTTACCATTGGGTCACTTTACCATTAGCTTGTAGGATTCTGCTGTTTATTAACAGTGATGTCCATTTTCATGAATCAGTGTACAACACTGTTACAGGAGATGAAGCATCCATTAAAAAATGCAAAGGCTCCAGAGGGTCTGTTAAATAGCTCTTCTTTAGCTATAATATCTGACAAGACATCAAGGCAGAGTGCTCTTGGGATCTGGATGCCTTGGTGGCCATCTGTTCTGTAGGGAAAAGACCATCTGCCCTCTATATAACCCTTCCATATCTACTTCAGTCTAAGCACTAATACCTTTTGAAATCCCCACCTGTGGCCATTGAATGGTAGCCTCAATTTTCTTATTACAAATGAAGGTGCAGCATTAAAATCTTCCAGTTTTGAAATTTTTGGCATTACATTGATTGCAAAAACCTGGTTTAGTTCATGTTATGCCTTCTCACACACTGCTCTTTTTATTTGAAGATGGCAGTACTTACTATACAAAGGAAAGCTAATAAAACACTGCTTTTGTAAGTCCCTGATGACACCAGGGAATGTCACAGACAAACTATTATTATTATGCTGGTCAGTGTAAAACATGTGGCATTGTAAAATCACAGTGGATAAAAGAGTGGAGTAGATTTGCATAAATATTGTTCTTTTAGGCTCAGGCCCTAAGCTGTAAATGGGGTGGTGGCTTACATCCAGAACTGCTGAATGATAAAGCAGCCACTGCCACATCTCCTTTTCTGAGTTTCAACTTTCAGTACCTCATGAGATATTACAGGCAGGCTACACTTCTGTAGCTTACTGCCATGTGAGCAGGTTGATGTAGTGAAAGACAGCCTCACAACTGAACCCCAGCCCCAAACTTGAAGGAAAATTAAGCCCTGTACAGACTGAAATTGTTCCTATTTTAGCTAACTGAGCAATCAATCCATCGTCTTGTCATTTTTATTTTTTTTTTTTGCATGAGATTTGCAAAAGTAAAACTAGGCAGCAGTCAGGAACTATTATCATGTTTTAAACCACTCTCCTAGTTTATGCCTTTTGTGGTTATCTACCTACCATTGTAACCACCACTGTAATAGCTAGTACATTAAAATGCTCTTAAAGACTAGATTTGTCTTGGCAGTGACTAGTGAAAGAGGTATACCTCTCTGATTTCAAATAGACCCACTGAGACCCTTCAATAGTTTTAATGCTGGAATGCTACCATAAAATATGCCACTTATATGGAAAGCCAGAGAAGAAAATACAATGAAGTCAGGCTCTCTTTTTTTCTGTTGGGTTAAAAATATGTCCTCTGGGAAGAACTGCATGTATCTGGCCAATTGGCAACTTGGTACGTATCCTAGATGAATAAGCAGATTTGCTGTACTGAGGTCCCACTGGCTCATGCCTATCAATCACAAGAAAGGAATCTGTATATTGCTTTTCACACTTGTGCACAGGGGCCCACACAGGGTGAGCCAGAAGCTGACCCTTGGGAAATTCTCTGTAACCATTCACCATCAACTTTCTCTTTCAATCTCTAGATGAAGGTGCTTCATTTCACCCGTGCGATGACACCTACTGTGGTCCCTTTCCCGAGTCTGAGCCTGAAGTAAAGGCTGTCGCTCATTTTCTCCGCAAACATCGGAAACAAATAAAAGCCTATTTGTCCTTCCACGCTTATGCACAGATGCTGCTGTACCCTTACTCTTACAAATATGCAACTATTCCAAACTTCAACTGTGTGGTAAGTACATTAAAACTTGGGAGAATATGCTTCCCTATATAATAGTTTTTTGCTTTGAGAAGAGACTTGTTCCTTCAATATTTTGCACATATTTAATATTGAGCGGTATTTATTCTGCATCTGCTTGCAATCACATTTCTGGTTATATAACCTTCACTCATAGTGAGTCAGTGGTAATTTGATTAGAATGGTATAGTGCCTTCCACCCATCAGTCCCTTTAAATTACTTTATAGGATAAATCCTTGGGTTTTAATTATAGTTATTATCATTTTATTTAATTAACTGTAATGGGAATTAAGTTGTTAAGTCCTTGGGCATCTAGCTGAAATTTCTGTTCCTCCATACTTAGAACTTAAGCACTGTGAGCACAAAGATCATCTTCAATGTTATGACCAAAGTAAAATTGAAATGGTTTATGTTTATCAATTAGAGAAGAAATCTCATAGATTTTACCAAAAGCAAAGCTTGGATTGCTTCATGTATGATCCTGGTCAGACACAGTATTTTTAACCCATTAAGACAACCAGTTACTTAACATCAGGGGATTTTGTCTATTAGAAAAATAAATTAATGAGAATACAAGGGTGTTATGCAAGCCTATTGATTGTACATTTCATGTATTCCATGCCCATCCAAATGCAGAACTATTCCCTCTGCTCACAGTCTGACATCTGTTTTTAGCCAGTCTCCTGTGCATAAAACTGTCCCTATGGTTTATTCTCCTAAAGAAACGTGGCTAAGCTTTACTTTCTGGTTGCTCCTGCTCGCAGACATACATTGCACCGACCAGTTGTGAGCCTCTTTCTCTCAGATCCCAGTAGACTGACATTCTTCATGTATCTCCCATTTAGGCCTTGAAAGTTGCAGTGATTTTTTAACTTGCTAGTTTAAGCTAGTTTACTCCAAGGGAGCTTAGCTGCACCTTAGATTTATCCTGTGCAGGATGAATGATGTTGTCAGTCCCTGGAGCTTCACTGAAGTTTCACTCAGCTGCCCTCCCAGGAGGCTAAGCAGCCAGTGCACCACAAACTAAACTCTCTTTGTGGGTTTATTTCTGTTAAGACACTTAATTTCAACAGCTACTAAAAATGCTCCTGTGTGATGTCATTCCTGCGACACAGCAAATTACAAGTTAACTAAACAGCCAAGGGAGCTAAAAATACAAGGCTTGTGAGGACTGACTAACCAGCCCTGCACTGACTGTGAACAAATCCATGAATCTTCTTTTTATTCTTTCTTAACCCTCTTTTGGGGAATGGCAGAGAAAAAGGAGGTCCCCAAGTTACTTGGTAACTATCACTTACCAGTAAACATAGACTGGGAATTTAAAACCACAGGATCTCGTTCCTTGCACCAGGAGGTGCAAGAATATTGTTTTAAGAATGGACAACACAGCAGAAGGTAAAGACATGGTATTAGGAAGAATCAGCATCTTCCCTACAAGTAGATGATGAAAATATCCAGAGTAACGTAAGGCAACAGCAGACACTGTCATTGTAAGGAAAAGGAGTCTCTGAGAGTTTTCACACATGCCAGTAAATCTTCAGTACATGTTGTTCTTGTTGCTCAAGGGTTATTTCCATCCTGCAAAAGGGAGTAGCTGCCCTCAGTACAAACACTCTATCTTTCCATGCACAGCTTTTAGACCCAAGGAATCGAGTTTTTGGTGTGTAGTAGGTGTTTCCTAGGTTTGGCAGACCTTGGATCAGGCTTCTCATTAGAGTGGAGCACAGACCTAAAGGGACAAAGAAAGGCACCGTTTTAGACAACAGCCCTGGACAAATAGAACCCAAATCCCATTCTAATATTTTGCCAATATTTGGACTCTATACTACTTTTTATTGCAGTGGGTCAAAAAGAACAGGGAGGTTGGAATAAAAAACTGAAGTAATATCCTGTTATTTAGAAAGCTCATTATTGGGATCATTTTGAAAATGAATGGAATATTGGTGGTTGTTTATTTGTGTGCTTTAATATTTGCCTACAGCCAAAGGCTCCATCACCTGGTGCTCCTAAATGAATAGTCTTTAATATCTGAAGTGTCCAAATTGGTGCCTTAGGCTGAGGTTTCAGATTCTCTGTTTCTCTTAGAAATTACAGTGAGCTGGAAAACAGCAGATCTCTGTTTCCTCCTGCTGATGGAACAAGCTCTGTCGGTCTATGCAGACTGTGTACAGTGGACAACTGTAGGACTCCACTTGCATAGCAGATAAATAACATTTGGTGCTAACAGGGGGCCACAATTAATCCTGAGCAGACGAAAGGATGTCTCTGTCTGGGTCATATCTTTCTAGTGAGCTGTCAGTTACCATTTCGATTAAAGTGTTCAATTATTCAGAGCTGCTTTGAAACTGGAGAGCTGTGTGCTGATCACAACATGCATATTCTGTTCTAATTTAGGCACAACTCTCTTATTAACACTCTTCTGAAATGTGTTCTTTTAAGATAATCAAAAGGAAAGTGCTCTTTTAAATTGAAAAACCCCACCAAACAGCAGAAACCTTCATCCATGTCGAGAGTTTTAAATTTCACCTACCTTTTATCCCTTTCCTGCCTGTACACTCATTTGCTTAGTGTTTGCAGTGAACTTACATGGCACGACTGAGTTTGTGTATGTCTTTGTAAAAATCTGGTAATTTTATGTGAAGCTTTCTCCTTAAAGGTGTTCAAAGACCGGTTGCCTGGACTTATTCAGGGTCCATCCTGCGCAGTATAATGCAGTTGAGAACTGTCCCTTTCTGTGAGCACCTAAGTCCAACAAGGGAAGCAAGTACTACACATCAAGGCTAAGAGCATCAAGTTTACAGTGCCCAGGGACATTTTCCTGCATGGTGGACATGGACTTGGGACACTCCCAGTCTGACCACCAGATGTTTGCTGCCTCTGCACAGAACTGTTGTGCTGGTTTTAAATGGGCATTATCAAACTATTTCATCAGTAAGATTTCAACAGAGTTTGCTTCTGTTGTCTCATTGCTGTACGATACAAAACTCACGCACAAGGAGTCTTCTCCTTTGTGGCTACAAGGACATTGCTCTCCACCCATCTCAGCTCCCTCAGCTGAGCCCTGTCTCCTGCTCCCTTGGTCACAGCAATGACCACCCCACCACACAACACCTCTGACCCCATCATGGGTCGTGTGTGTCATGACTCACAGAAGTTGAGGCATTGTTACAGGAGAAACAGTCCCGAGTGACAGCACTTCCCCCGTCCTCGGGCCTCCTCCCAGCCTCCTCATCTTTGGTGTTAGGTAATTCAGAGGTTACCCCTCTCACCATCTGGTGACCACATCCCAACCCAGCAGAAGCTCCCAGCAGCACTGACTTCAGTGGTCCCCTCCTCCATGCACTGCCTCATGGAGATGGCAAGAGGAAGAGAAGGGGCAAGTCTCCAGCACTGTCATCCTTGTTCTGAGTAACAAAAATCTATTTGTGCTGAACGGATTTCTATATGGAGTTAAAAAGTGCTCTTCCATTTGCTAAGAGCAGTTCTCAGCGTAAAACAAACTCTACAAAGCCCTACTTTCTGTAAGTGAAAATTGTTGGTTTTTTTCCATGAATGACATTTTAAAGCAGTTTTCTCTGGCTTCTCTGCTCGGACAAAGACCCACAGCAGGAATTGGGTCAGACCGAGGATTAAACCATGATCATGATTCCTGACAGTGGCAAACAAGTGGAAGATAAGTGAAAATGTATAAATGGAAAGGCAAGTATAGAGTAATCCTTCCCCAGTGCATTCATCTAGTGTCTCATGATAACAAGGTATGGACCAAGCTCATGAACACTTGCATAAAATGAAACCTACAGCTCTTCAGTTCACAGAATTGAAACATCTAAAACCATTGCAGCTTTACACAGTGGTTCAAAGTCTGTAAGTTTCTAGCTCCTAAGATATGCATTTCCTGCTCTTTATAGGGAGCTGGCTCTGTGTTTTTCTAGATGCTCCTTCACTCTCCACAGTCCTTTTTCTTTTGAAGACATGCCTCCTTTCTCTGTGTTTGGATGCACTATCCACGTGTGACCCTCAGAATTTGCCATCGGCCAGGCCTTTCTCATCCCATTTCACAGTATACCATGAGTTCCTAAACAGACCGCATGCATATGGATGTTGAACTGTAGATGCCGATTTTCCCCATACAGTACTGAAATCACATATCTGCAATAGTGGAAAGACTTCTCCAAGCCTACATCGTCTTTCCCCAGAGAAAGTCAGACCAGCAGACCAGACCTGCCCATCACAGATTCAGGAGTGAAATTTGCCTCCTTTTTTCCCGCTCTTGCTCACTGAACCCCTGTGGAGTATCGCAAGAGGTCATTTCTTCTTCACAAGCCCAGCAGAGATGAGATTTAGTGGACTTGGAAATGCATCCACACGTACTGGCAGAAAATGCATGCATGGCTTTTAAACTGCATAAAAAAGAGCTTATTTCATCTCATGATCTCACATGCTTCCTAAATTTGTTGTGTCACTGATTTGGTATATATACATATAATTACAAATACTTAAAGACTGACGGTTCACAGTGCAGTAAGGTTCTTTGTGCTATGAAAACACTGAACCAAGTTTTTCAGGGAATTTGGGAATTGCTGTCAATAAAAATAAATAATGCATTTTTCCTTTAAAATAATTTTACATTAGCTGCCATGGAACACAACATTGAGCAGGAAGTCAATGATCAGGTTCCAATCCTATTACAGTATTTAATTCAAAGTCTAATTTATGTATTTGTTTTTCTCCCCCCCCCACAGGAATCAGCAGCCTATAATGCTGTTAATGCTCTTCAGTCAGCCTATGGTATAAGATACAGATATGGTCCTGCATCTAGCACTTTGTGTAAGTTTTCCTCTAGCACAGGTTTGTGACTTTGACCTACCTATGGTAAGAAGGAAATTACTCTTATAATAACAAAGAAAGCAAACACTGTTTAAAGTGAACTTTGTTCCAGTTGTGGCTGGTGAGGAAGGCGGAAGATGAAGTTTTGTAAGTGATTCAGTCAGTTGATTGCAGTAAGATTAAATTGATGCAATAAAAGAGATCTAAAAGCAATGCATCTGAAAGGTGAAAGCCAGTGAATAACATGTTCAGAACATGTAAAACCAGATTTAAAAACAAAAAAAAAATAGACAAAACAAGATGTTAAAAAGCGTATCTTTACCAGATACTGTAAATACACTAAGTTATAAAATATCTGGGAGGTGTCCCAGTTTCAGCTGGGATAGAGTTTATTTTCTTCCTAGCTGGTGCACTGCTGTGTTTTGGATTTAGAATGGCAATAATGTTGATAGTGCACCAATGTGTGGCTGTGGCTAAGTAGTGTTTATACTAAGTCAAGGACTTTTCAGCTTCTCATGCTGAATTCATGGATTCATTCAGTGAGAAGGGTGGAGGGGCACAAGGACCTAGAAGGAGACACAGGCAGGACAGCTGACCCAAACTAACCACAGGGATAATCTATACCATATGACATAATACTCAGTATTATAAGCTAGGGGGGAAGCTGGCCAAAGGCTGCTGTTCAGGAGCCGCTGGGCATCAGTCAGTGATTTGTGAGCAATTGTGCATCACTTGTTTTGTATATTCTAATTCTTTTATCATTATTATATTATTATCACCATTATTTTCTTCCTTTTCTGTCCCATTAAACTGTTTTTATATCAACCCTTTATATCTTTATATCAAGTTTTCTCGCTTTTACTCTTCCAATTCTTTCCCCCATGCCACTGGGGGTGGGGGAAGTGAGCAAGCAGCTGTGTGGTGTTTATTTGCCAGCTGGGGCTAAACCACGACAGGAGGAAATAATTGAAAGTAGGTTTCATTTTTCATTATTACTTCACTTTTCTTCTATGCAATTGTGATATTCATAGAGCTAATTCTAAAATTTAGGGTGATGTCTTTAAAAGCTAAGTTTCATGTGCCTCTCTGTCTAGATGATGATAAATGATAGCAACAGTATCTTTACTTGGAAATCTTCCCTTTTTCAGAGAGTGATTTCAAGTGCATTTTTTCCTATAACAAAATATCTTTAAAATACTAATTTTAAATATGTAACAACATTTGTCAGTCAAACTTTCCACATAGACAGGTAAGAGAAACAGAAGTTCAACACATTTCAGCAAGACACTTTCTTTTTTTTCTACTGAATTTATGAGGCCTGAGTGCAGTCAGTGGTGACAAGAGATATTCAGAAAGTCAGAGGCTTAAGCAAACAGCAAGATTTTTCACAAGTAACCTCTTGCATCTCCTCTGCTGTTGCTGTGTTTTGTCTCAGATGTGAGTTCCACTTTATTGTGGGCCTCCATCTCACAGTACAGTTGGCATCTTGTGCTCATTACGGTGCAGTCAGTCACTATATAAAAGGAAGAGCAGTGTGAATTAATGCCAGAATTGCACAGAAGACAGCAGGCCACATGAGAGATGGATCTTTATATAAATATAAGTGTCTTGGGTAATCAACATATGGAGATAAGGATAGCATAAGAAGCACACTTCCTTGGGAAGGTTTGTTAATATTAGACACCACCTATGCAAATGCTCTTATGCTGTAAGGAAACAGTGAGAAGGCAGAAATTAAGAGAAAATAATTTTAAAAGCACTTTGAAAAGGAGAATGAAGATTATCAGCTTTCTCCTTTCTCCCTGCAAAAGAATTGCCTAAAGTCCCCAAGTTAAACCTAGGAGTATGCAGAGCTCCCATCCAGCTGGAAGATCTTTGTGGAAGCAAAGTTTTATTTGCCTGGGAACAAGAAAAAATTGAGGCTTTGTTCTATATGTTCTCTTTAATTAAAATTTTGCTTTACACACAAAAAAAAGCCAGTTATTAATTCTTTTCCTGTGAAAATCAAGGGTCTAATCCATATTGCGCTGAGCACCTTTCACTGGTGCTGGGTACCCATGCCCTTCTCTGAAGGGTGCTTAGGATCAGGGCAAGCAAAAAGCTGGAGTTGCAAGTATACTCACTGAGTCCTGGAGACAAAACACCACATGAACCCTCTGGTGCTTTCAACATGACCTGTGTTTAACCTGGGTTTTTTTAATCTTCTTTTGATTACCCCTCTCAGATGTGAGTTCAGGTAGCTCTATGGACTGGGCCTACAAACACGGCATCCCCTACGCATTTGCATTTGAGCTGCGTGACACTGGCCATTTTGGATTCTTACTTCCTGAGACGCTGATCAAACCAACCTGCACAGAGACCATGCTTGCAGTTAAAAATATTACTCTTCATCTGCTGAAGAAATGTCATTGAGAGCTATTTCTAGGAGCTGGGAGTGAGCATTTTACTCCCAGTGCTGATGCCTTCTAGTGTGTTCAGTTGCCATTTTAAGCTTGACCACTTCAAAATTATAGAAGCTAATGGAAAGTACGGTGTTTCTACCAGATCTACTTGGTGGGAAATGGAAAAATCATTTAATATCTGCTCTACAAAAGTCCATAAAGTTGATATACTATCTTAGTTACAGTTTGGTGTAAAATAGTCTGTTCTTTTTGCAATAAAGCTTTGATGCTGCAACTTCAGTGGAGCAGGTCCACATAGAGATGCCTGAAATAAAACTCCACTTCTAGACAGTCCTTGGACTTAGTCCTTTCCCTAACAGGACAACTTCCCTTAGTAGGGTCTTTTGAACCAAGGGATAAAGTTTACATTCGTGTATATGTACTCTGAGACACAGGCCTATGTCTATAGCAGCAAATGGCATATAGCTGCAGCTGGCCACGCTGCAGGTGGCTATGTGGCTCTATGTGGCTTCCTTCTGCATGTATACATACATATGTATATGCACTTTTGTGATTATATTTTTTTTTATGTAATGCAAGAATTAGACCCAAGGTTTCCTTTAACCGTTCAGAGAAACCTATTTTCAAATGTATGTATTGGGGTGGACTCAAAATCAACGTATTGCTTTTGAAAATGTAACTGTTCTAGAGATGTGTAAGAATTATAAGGAAACATTATGGATATACAGTACTCTGCTTTATGTAGAGACAAAGCAACTTGCCATGACTTGGAACTTGGAAGCTGGCAGTTGACTGGTACGTCTGGGTTCTGCTGCAATCAGTGTCTGCCCATTTCCACCAGCCAAGGATCTAGCCTTAAACTGACTGATATCAACTGATACCTTGTTTATCAGTATTTTTGCTGTGAGTTCTGTAGCTCTATGGCTATGTGGCAGTTCTTGGAAGTCATATTTTTTGCATGTTTTAAAGGAATTAAGAATAGATTTTTAAGTGAGCCAGAGGCGAAAGCAGAAGCATTACAGATGAAATACAGTGAATAAACACCATGTTTGAAAGAATAATAACGAAAGCACAGAGAATATAACAACTTGTTGAGGGGCTTCTGTTACTTTTAAAATACTATTTTTTTGATCTTATTTTATCTGCAAAAGCATATATTTTAGTTTATTAATTTTCAGCTTAATCTTATGCCATAACATGTTAAATAAAACATATTTGTTAATAAAATCATCCAAGTATTCTTCATATTTCATTTAATTGTTAAAGTTTTTGTTCAAGGATGTGATCACTTTACATGACTGACACCAATGATTCAATCTTTTACATAAACTACCTCCTCTCTAAATAAGTACTTGAACTTAGCAAGTGGGCAACCTTTATAAGACTAGGGAGCACCATATTTAAGAATACCTCTGTTTTCAGGACTGCAAAAGGCAATCAGTGAGCAAACATGGCAGAATTGCATTCTGTTGTTTTATATTCTGTTAATAAAAAGTATTTATTTTAAACAAGCTTTCTGAAAGCTTTTTCAGCTTTGATTAGTTCAGACTTGTTTTGAGGAATGCAAGTTTCTACTCTGGTTTAACAAAAATCCAGGGCAGAGAAGCAGAAGATATTTTATCTACCCACTAGTCATTTCTGATGCTTATGACCATGATCATTGAATAGTTTGAAGACAGCAGTAACTGTCTCTTGCTATGCACAGATTCTTGACCAATGGCCTTAGTAGTGATGTAAATAAAATTTTAGCACCAATTGTTGTGAGTTATTCTGGATTTAGGTGACATGACTGAACTACTACAAGGACATAAGACACTAAAGTGAAGAACAAAAGATGTAAGAGATGCCTAATGAGCATAAGGCAAAAATTTACCTCTGGATTGTTACAGTAGAAACCTTTCCAAGCATGGGCCAGAAGAAACCAGATTCAGATGTGATGGTTTGATTCCGCCTGCTCATAGTCCAACAGTTCGTCAAATGAAACATTCTAGCTTTATCTTCATACCATCACATCTCCACTAGCACAAACGCAAAGAACAAAAACACAAGCTCTTTTAGGTACCAGAAGGACGTAGCATTGCAGATCTAGCTGACCTTCTTGGACAGGAAAAATTGCAAGTATTCTTACATTTATCTAAGAAGCTTTGACATTTAGAAGTACATGATATCAAAACCAGTCCATGAATAAAGCCACATCCTGGTATCTGGATGGACTCAGCCTGAATACTACATATTATGTGCAAATGAAAACTCTGACCTGACTTTGAGGACCTGTACAGGGTAATCTAGTGCCCCATAGCTGAATACAAGTGTAAACAGTTCCTGGGTTTTTTGAATTTCAGGGTCATTAAAGCTGGTCAGAAAGACAGTCACTAGAAAAGAACAAACACTAATTGCTGAATTAAGAACGTGTGAGACAATTTATCAGCAAGAGTTACTCTAAATAGAGTGGTTTACCCTACTGAAAGAACTACTGGAAAACAGCTACTTGGATATGGAACAACAGCCTTTGTGACTTACAAATGTTACTTCACTGAACAGTTCTTTTTTTATCTCCATAATTACTTCTCTTCCCTTTGTACTACTCTTCAGCAGTCTTTATTGCCTACAGGACAAGAGAATCAATAACTGGTTTTGAGAAAAGTGAATTTATTTTATGATCGTAAGTATACTTTATCATTCAAGACAATAAAAGGTACATGAACAGCAAAACACTGGTTATTAACCCAGCAGTTAAAATCACATATACAATGATTATGTGAAATCCAGGAGTTGCACTTCCATTGATTATTGATAGAATAATTATAACCACTTCTGTAAATTTGAAAAAGTGCTCAGACAATCTTTTGTGAACATTTGGGGGCATTTGATAGCTTTTATTTTTAATTAAGAAGAAAAACCACACTGAGACTAACATGAAGGAAACAGGCCTATGCCTCTTCAAGTCACCCTTCTTAACAAAACAATTACCCTGAAATTACCTTGAATCATTATTCATAAATTGATAAAAAACTGGCCTTCAAAGGTGAAAAAAGGTATTGAGTTTGGCTGCAAACCTTGAAAAATAGCACAACTGATTGGTGAAGCTCCCCATGTGTTTTTCAGAAGTCACTTTGAAAAGGCAAATGTATTTGATCACTCGTAACATGTAAAGCCTATGGGAAACTGCACTTCTTTTCTAGAAATTTCTGAAGATTTAATAGAAAGAGCTCAAAGGACCTTGAGTGCCAACATGCATCTACTTTGAAATATCCAGTGCCAATCCTCTTGTCTGTAAGAAACTGCAGAGTGCAGATTGCACTGCCTATATGAGGACTGTGCAAGATAACTGCTTATTGAAAAGACTGCATCTAATTCTTAAGGTTGGGAAGAAAGCATTTTATTTCCTACCAAAAGTAAGCTACTAATCAACTGTTCTAGCTTATTAATGTTAAACAATCCCTTCCATTTTTATGTTTACATTCTATTCAATGGTATCACTTGAAGAATAATACATGCAACAGAGTACAGGTATTTTCGTAAGCCCTTTTGATTTTTCCTTTGGCTGTGTGAAACTATTATACCATTCCCATAGCTCACTGTTGTACAGTGGTCACATTCATTGATAAAAGATGTTAGTCTTACACTTGATGACTTCGCTTTTGATTTCTGTGCCTAAAAGCCAGACGTTACTATTTTCATACAGTCCTTAAATGATGGCAAAACACCATAATAATATCTTAGATGTGCAAAGACACAGCTACCCCTCTGCTGCAGAAAACAGGACAAGAGAACAGAAATCCAAATAAATTACAGAGATACTTTGAAAATATAAACCCTGTGACATTAGCTGCACTCCTTTAAAACATTCTTAAACACTCACCACCTAAAACACCTTTTGAGTTGTAAATTTCAACGTCTTCTGTCCACAGAAAACATAGGCCATTTGGCATGCTTAATGTATGCCTGAATTCTCATACCCACTCAGGATAAAAGTAAGGTCCAAACAGGTATAATTGGTTTCTCGTTTACTGTGTAGGAGGCAAGCAGGGTGTGGAGAGAGCTGCCTTCTGTCTGACCGAACCACTAGGCTTTCAAGCCCTATCAGCGCCACAAAGCCAGGAGTACTGCTGCTGGTGACAGGCCTGTCTTGAAGGAAGGTGAACAAGTTCAGAGTGGTTTTCACAGTCCTCAGCTCAACGTGCCTGTCACCGCAAGCACAATGCAGCTTGTTGGAAATTCATTGCTTTAGGCTGTATGTGGTGTCAAAAAGGCCTGCCTTAACAAGGTCTTCTGTTAGTATCTGCAGAGTTTGGATAACAAGAGTCACAACAGAACACATAGTTCCCTCCTTAGAAAATGATGTTTGAAGCAAGGACATTTAGAATTGGCAATTCTTTAGACCCCGAATGCTTGTCCTTGCCTGACAGGCAGGAGCGACCAAGCAGAAAGCCTTGGCTCTCCCTGCTTTCAGTGGAGTAGTTCAAGCCCTCTCCTGAGAGACTGATTCAAGCATGGCAGGGCTTGCCCTTGGATTTAGACATCAGGGAATGCACTCATAAATAATAGATTCAAATGTTAATTAAAAAAATCTGCCACTGTCCCCAGCCATGCAGAAAGTGCACTTTGCCCACGACAAAGGAAATCCATCCATTTGCCATAAAGGCATATGGGGGCAATATATTTCATCTATCCTGCCTGCTCTTAGAGTCCAGCCACCTTAGCACCTCTCAGCACTATTGAAAAATATATGTGGAGAAATAGTCATAACAATGAAGTATTTTAATGTACCCCTGGGTCGGTAGGAGCATATACTTTATCTCAAATAATAGATAATGAAATAAACACTGTGGAATGACTGTGAGCAGGTGTTTCAGTCTTTTGTGCTGACTACAATGTGCCAAGCTATTCCTCTGAATACCAGGATGGCTCAGTGCTGGGAGGGCTGCCTCTTTTTTTAACCAAATAATGAACCCTTTTCTTGTTTTTTTTTAGCAATTATTAGAGAATATTATGTTAGGTCTGAAGATACATACACATGAGTCTGAGAAAGCTTCATTTTATAACAGAATTTTCAATTTTCTTGAAAATAATTCATCTGTTAAAATCACAGCCAGAGTTTCCAGGTGGCTTATTCTTTTACAGCATAACTGAAAAAAATTGCATAGAAATATATACATATATATACATATAAAAGCTAAGCAGAAACAACCAATTTGCTTACTGTTTCATTTCCCTTGTTTTATTTCACTTTGTTTCTAGATTGAGAAAATCTGGGTTGATTGGGCTGAATTGAAGGAGTACAGTCAAAAAGCTGAGTGTACAGGGTTCTTCTGCTTAATGAGCTAGAAATGGCTGCTTAAAAAAAGAAAAAGGCAACTTGGTGTATTTTAAGTTCTTTATACGGAATAATTGCTTTACTCTGTTTAAATTCAATTATCACATTTGCAGAACTTATTATGGTTTGGAAAGATAATTTTCCTGTGAGCCAGGCAGTGGTTTAAGGGTTAAATGAGTGAAATGCCTGTTAATGTGGTACAAGAACCAGAACTGCTCTTTGGCCTTGGTAGCACAGAGTATTGTCAAAGGATGAGATGTACTTGAGCCTCCTCTTAACAGGATGAATATGCTATTTCATGCTGCATGGTGTCTCCGCTTCTCTTCCTCCATTTCAAAACAGAATTGAATACTGTCTGTCAGTGACAACTTCAGCTATAAAAGAGCCTAACTTTTGGTACTAAATTTTAATCATGAACCTGTTAAAATGTGTGAACTTCCCCACATACCTACGCAGATTCATTCACACACAAACAAGATGTCTGTCTGCACAATGTGTACTGTGTGATGATTTACGTAATGGTGTAGCTGCAATTCTTGGCAACCACAGGGCTGCTGATAGCAGGCAGCATGTGTTCAGCATCTCTCCTCTGCCTGTTGGAAGCACATGCAAATTCAGCTTATTTGGCCAGTTCCCTAAAAGCCTTGGACACTATTTCACTGGTGCAACACAAAAAGCTCTCTTCCTGGAGTTTCTCTAGTGTATTTGTGTGGGTTATCCCCTACTACTGTTAACATAGCAAATACAAGCTCAGAACATGGGACAAGCCCTTCATGTCTTGCACCCTATAATAGAGTCAAGAGGGGTTTTGCTATTGTGAACACTTAGGGCAGAGGCTGTAAGAAGGTGTTATGCCATCAACTCCCAATGTGGACTGCATCCCAGAAAGCCTTTGTTACATCATGGGTTATAAAGGTCCTATACCATTGCCCAGAGTGATCAAAGGTGTCTTGATCCTGCTCCTGGAAAGGCTGCTAGCATAATGTCATGGTAGATAAGGGTAGCTCTGGAGAGGCTACAAGACCATACCAGCTGCTACCAGGATTTTTGGACTGCTTCAGACCATGAACAATTCTTCTGTATGTTAGCCATTTGCAGGAATACATGTTTAAAACAATAATTTTAGACAAAAAACAAACAAACAAACAACCCAACACACAAGCAAACAACAAAAACAACAACAAAAAAAATCCTCACCTTTCTTATACATTTTAAAGATTTTTCTATTGAAGCTGTTGTGATTGTTTTCAGGTATTTTCCAAGAAATTAAGTGTCTTTTCCGAGAAGCTGAGGTAGAAGTACCTTGAAGCTGCCGTCATGCTGAAAGCTGTTTAGGGAGTCAGTGTATGCAGTCCACTACCTGTCAAACACTCACCTACCAACACTGCAGATAATAAGTGCAACCTTCAGGAGATGTCTCAGCAGAGACCTCCCTGCAAACATGTCTGGAGACAGAGTTACTCTTAAGACAGCAGTTTGGATGCAGACTGGCTAATGAATGTTGGAAAGCTTGTCTACAACTCTCTCGAGCTGAAAGTAAGCACTCATGTTTAAACTGCTGTCAGGACTGCACTTTTAAAAAAGAGAAAAATATAACATAAAATAAAAAGTTGTAATTTGCATCAGTGTCTCAACAGAGAAAGGAAGGTCCCCATTCATTTCCTGATCCTCTGCATGGCACCAAGTGAAGGGCTCCTTCAC